ACACACACACACACACACACACACACACACGCCTACCAGCAACAGCTAGGTATTTTCCTTTCTAGCTGATTTTAAGATCTTCCTTTCTCTTCGTTTCTATAGTTTTGCCACCCTCCTGAGCTCAGGATTCTTCAACCTGAGGCTTTATGTCTGGATTTGAGTCTGGGAAATTCTCTCTCTCTCTCTGAGACAGGGTTTCTCTGTGAAACAGTGAAACAGTCCTGGCTGTCCTGGATCTCACTCTGCAGACCAGGCTGGCCTTGAACTCACAGAGATTCACCTGCCTCTGCCACCCAAGTGCGGGGATTAAAGGCGTGCGCCACCACCCTGCTTTGTGTCTTTTAACTGTTCTTTCATAGCTCCTCATATTATTTTTCTACTTGCTCACATTTCTGAATGATTAGTTGTTGTCCTTTTGGTTTTTTATTTTTGTTTTTTGAGACAGGGGTTCTCTGTGTAGCTCAGGCCACCTGCCTCTGCCTCTCAAGTGCTGGAATTAAAGGCCTGTACCACCACCGCCCAGCGATTCCGAATGGTTTGTATTAGCTCTGTCTTCCAGTTCACCAGTTCTCTCTGAGTCTAATTTGTTTGGCGCATTGTTGCCCCACCCCCACCCCACATGTCCACTCTCTCTTCTCTGTTTTTTGATGGGGTCTTGTATCGCAGGCTGGCCTGATACTCCTCAGGTAGCTGATGATGACCTTGAATGCCTGGTCCTTTTGTCTCCACTTCCTGATGCTGAGATTACAGATGTGCACCACCATGGCTTCGTGCATGCCAGGCAATCTTCCTCCCCAGCCTTTTTTAAGATTTCTTTTGTGTGTATGTGTGTTTTACCTACATGTATGTCTATGCACCATGTGTGTGCCTAGTTCCTGTGGGAGCCAAAAGAAGGTGTTGGATCCCCTGGAACTGGGGTTACAGACAGTTATAAACTGCCATGTGGGTACTAGCAATCAAACCCAGGTCCTCTAACCACTGAACCATCTCTCCAGCCCCCTGTTTTTCATTTCTTAATGTCTTATTTTGTTCCCCCAACAATCTCCTTATAATCATTGTTATTTTCATTACAGCCCACTTTCTTGTCTTAATCTTTACTATTTAAAGTGTACTTAGTACATAGTAGTTTTCATGTTGCGTCATCCCAGGGTATTTGTTTGTTTGTTTTTGAAACAGGGTTTCTCTGTGTAGTTTTGCTGCCTGTCCTGGATCTCACTCTGTAGCCCAGGCTGGCCTTGAACTCACAGAGATCTGCCATCCTCCTGCCTCTGCCTCCCGAGTGCTGGGATTAAAGGCGTGCGTGTGCCACCGCCGTCCGCAGTCATCCCAGCTCTTGGAGCACTCTTGTTTCCTATGTCCCTCAGGAGGAATTACCTGATGCAATAATTTCATTTCATCTGGGAGTCACCCCAAAGCTGGTGACAGGGCACTCTTAGTGGGCCCTGGACACGATGGACCGACTAGTACGGACCCTGAA